TAGCCGAGCGGTTAAAGCGTCCGCTCGTCACGCTAAAGACCCGGGTTTGATTCCCCACATAGTAAAATGTATGAAACCGTTCTCTGGGGTCCCCCCGCCGTGATATTGCTGGATTATTGTAAAAGCGACTCACCTATCAGTACCAGACTTTGTACTGTGGATATAATACAGCTTCCATCTCTATGTGTTTCCGCAACTGTTGAGCGGATCAAATGCTGACAGAATTTTGCAATTTAGTGTTGACAGTAAACATTCAGGTGTTTCAAGAGTTCCCAGACTTGACGGATGGCATATCCATATTCCAGCTGCTCCATCCTTTGGTCCTAACATTTCACAAAGTTTTGAAGTAAAACAGAGCATGATCTTTCTACGAAGATTTCAAACAGCGCCAAACAACTCTCTCGTTGTTATATTATTCAAGGCCTTGGCGAAGCGAACGTTTTTTTTTAGACATGTTCAGGACACTTCCAGTTTAGACACATCAGTCAGCAATGTGACCCTATTCTGACTCAGCTGGACAATTGACTTGCCTGTGCACGTTCTTATGACGGCCATGGACACCGATGGACGCAATTGGGGTAGCAAGACACGCATCAATCAAGTCCTGATAACTCAAGTCCCGATGAGTCGATCCCGTTAGTTGTTCTTGCATGGGTTGATAATTCTGACTCTGTGTCTCTAATTAAACGGGCCTTTTGAAACTTAGACTCCAGATCGCAGGACATATCTCCTTAGTAAATCTTCATGCCATGACCTAGAATGTATAATTATCAAATCATTCGTTTATAGTTTTATAACAATAGCTCGAATATTCATACCACCTATTTTAACAAACACAGACTGCATGGTCGTATTTCGCATGTAATACAATATTTGTGTCAGGCCAGAGCAGTGAAATTACTGATCATAGTGAGGTTAATTTGACAAATACCCTTATCCCCGCAGGACAATAGCTTTGTCAAATCCAACTTTTGGATGGTCCCCATTAACAGCATTTGGAACATGTACTTATTTATCAGATTTCTTGTCATTCTGGATATCAACTACTGTTGTCAAAGTACAACGGAGATCAGGTCTTTAAGGACAACGTGTACTGGGTGAGCTGCCATCTCGAACTCGTCTGATATATTAAAGTATATATTAAATTAACGCGTGTGTGGGCGGGGGGTGGGTGGTGGTGGTGTGCAATGCGAATGGACATAATCGTCTAACATCGACACTTTGCTCGTACCGAACCAGACCCTGTGACGCCCTGTTGATAAAGCTTCACTGTGGACAGTCTGGTTCCCTGGGTATGTAGACTAAGACTTAGTCTCTGAATATATTAAAATTTTGATAGTAACAAATAAACCCATTTCAAATGAAAAGGACCCTTAGTTAAATGGGAACCTGAGGGAATCTAGACTTGCTTAGTGCTTTGTATTACAAAGAGAGAGAGCAAGGCAGTATGGAAAATATTGTGGTTCAGTGACTGTGAGACAGGCTACTGGGTATGCTACGCTGGCTAGCACTTTAACGCGTCGCAACAAACAAAGGGAAGGAGTATGCAGTAGGGTTAGCCATTTAATCTTCGGAGGTGCTCAGGCAGGGGCGGATACAGCTTCTTCAGAAAGGGGGTGTGTGTGTGGGGTGTGGGGGTGTGCACACTTCATTTTCACCCGTTTTCACGGGTCATTTCATACACTTTCAGGACAAAAGGGCGCAATCCTGCACCCACCCCTCTCTGGATCTGCCTAAGCGAGGGAATAGAAGTTTTATAACTGTGTCCTCTTAACGTAGCAAAACAATTTACATTTCACAATATATTTTGTGTGACATACATTAGTTTTTGAAACAAGAGGTAACATAATTTTGTCAAATATTTATTTTCTCAGATTATTTCTTTTCAATGGTACCGCTGAATATAAAATATTCCCAGAAAACTGAATTTAATGTTGCCTACACAGCATGTTCCCGGGAAATTGGTTCTGGCGAAGGATTTTTGCCAACATTTGCTCTTAGAAAACATGTTGTCACAACAAACGGACCGACAACAAATATGTATTTGACTGATAATGGGCCGACACGTCTGCAACGTGCCAGAATTCGTGACTTATCATTTCCATCGATTGTTTTTCGTTTTGATGATACAAAAATACCCATCATGCAGTGAGTCGGTTATCTCGTGGGTTTTCTTACTTGTATCGGAGCCGTTATGTATATATCAACTTGTAAAATCGGGATAGTTTCAGACAAAGCGCACCTTAGATTGCATGCAGCGGGCAAGGTGACGCCATTTTAGAATTACTATCAATGGGATAATAACGAGGAATCTCGCGATATTTTAGATAGATTCACGTCAAAGCGTGTAGATCCCCGTTCTATCACAGAACGGCCGATAATATCCCCCTCTCATCTGTTTACTGTAATTCATTTCACTCAAATACTTAAAAATTTGGAAGTTTTCTTTTATTTATGGTGCAATAATTAAGACTTTTATGATATTAAACGACATTGCAGTATTCACCTTTGACATTCACAAACAGAAAGAAAATATGTTGGAAGATAATGGAAAATATCTGAAGGGTGGATAAACAATGATAATGAAAGTCGGCCCAGACAAACATTTGTCAGATCAGTGAAAGATGTACTAGACTTTAGCCATTAGACGGACCAACCCCAGATCGATTTCCAACATGAATACAATGTGTGAAACTTATTTCTGGTGTCCTTCACTGTGATATTGCTGGAAGATTGCTGAAAGCGGCGTAAAACAATACACACTCAAATTTGATTCAACGGGTTTATAAGTGTCCACTTTTGACGTTCACCAGCTTCAATAGAACCTCGTTTTCCCAGACGGTGCAATATTCAGTGAACTTGTCATACGTCTGTATTAACGAAGTAAGTGTCCTCGTGATACATATTGGCGTTAAAACAGGGATAGTTCTGAAACTAGGATTTCCCGACGATGGAGGTCTGTAGCATTTTGATGATGACGACACAACTTATGCAGATACGCTGTCTTTGACAGATATTGATATAGCCTTTAAACCTAGATTGAAAAAGGGACATTCCGATTAATGTCTTAATTCATGAGTTCGGATCGTCTACCGGACAGCAGAAAGTCGGTGGTATGATCATACCATGTCTGTCTCACGGTCCCTGCATGTACACTCTTATTTGTCATGGAACCCGACCCCGTCTGTAATGCAAAAGCCTTACATGAAGCAAGTCTATATGACCTCGGGTTCTGAATCATCCAGGGGTAGCCTAATGGTTAAAGCGTTGGCTCGTCGCGCCGAAGACATGGGTTCGAATGCCCACATGGGCACAATGTGTGAAGCCCATTTCTGGTGTCCCCCGCCGTGATGTTGCTGGAATATTGCTAAAAGCGGCGTAAAACCAAACTCAGTCAGTCTGTCTGAATCACTTTTTTCCAATTTAAATGCATTTATTCGTTTCAATTAGACTAACAACTACTCTCTGACATGCACATAATATTATGAAAAGGAGCCCTGAGACTTTCTTCATTTTCAGACCTGAAGCTGTGGAAATCTAGACTTGCGTGGGCTTTCTTGGATATATTTGCTTCAGGGTCTGTATGACCGACTACGTTTCAATCAAAACCGTATATATATTTTCAGAGACTAAGATTTAGAACTTTAGATTATATTGAAAGACAACAGATATTACTTGTGGTTACCCTGGCCGACTCTCAGCATCAGGCAGATAATTAGACAGTCACAATACTATTCTCTTCCAAAGTTACCCAAGTACGTGGGAAGATATGGCTTGAGTAACCTCTCGGAAGAGAATGTCTCAATACAAGACTCGGTTAAATACAGACCAAATTGACTGTTCTCATCTCAGTCACTCCTTAGCAGTATTCAGGCAATATCACGTCGGGGAACATAAGAAACGGGCTCCATACACTGCACCCATGTTGGGAATAGAACCCGGGTCTTCGGCGTAACAAGCGAACCCTTTAACCGTCAAACTGCCCCACCACCCACAAAGAAATTTACTACCAGGGAGTACAAAGGCTGTCTCTTTCGGTACAGCTCTAACTATGGTAACGCTTTGAGGCTCTTCTGGAATTACAAGTTAGTCGCATGAAATACCATATTTTTTCCCCATACTTTAAAGCAATAAGCAATTTTAATATAATTCAGTGCGTATACGGTCAATTCGGTGTCCGGAGTAAAAAACAAAAAAAACCCCAAGTACAACTCGTATATTTATACGTATCACATTGTTCGGTTTTATCTGCCTCAAGTGCCCGAGTAGTCTCTGTTCAATTTGAACAGGATGTAACGCTCTACGAAATGTTCCTCTTTAACCATTTTACTAGCCTTGCTCAAAGGTTGTACTGATTGCTAAGCCAGTGGATGTGAAGTAATTCTATCCTTTAATGAGGTATGCCTAGATTAGCGGACTGTACATCTAAGGACGCCAGTCTAATAGAGAGAAAATATGTCCTTTTCATTCATATTCATGTATTCATATTTTATTCATATACTTATAGACTCGTGCAAGTCTACCATTTTACGACACATGTTGGATCCGAGATACACAAAAAAAAGTGATACGTGTGGAATCTGGGGATGGTGATACGTGTTATAGGTGTATACCACAGGGGAGGAGGATTGTCTTGGAGTCTCGTCAGTTCACCGTCCATGCCACGTGTTCGACTTTAGGCGGGCACTAAATATATGTCATCAAAGAGCTGAATCAGGAAAAGCGAAAATTAATTGAACCCGTCCCAGTGTTACGGGGCTTGATGATATGTTTAGGGTATTGCCCGATATCTGTCTGACAGGTGCGAGTCCAAGTGGTGTATTAACACCTGGCAAAAAACGTGATTCGCGGTAGAGTTGTGACGTAACAGATAAGCAAGCGGTCCTTTTTTTGGATTAAATTGCCATATCGCTAAGAGATCCATGACGACACATTTCCTTCATCAAAGATATGAATATCTAGAAATGTAGACTCCTGAAGATTGGGTAGTTACAATGGGTTCACTTGCTGCGAATGATGAAACCACTGGCAAGCTGCAACAAGAGTGTGAAGACAGAAAGATCATACTCTGTGTGCGGGGGTGGGTGGGGTGGGGTTTTACCTGGGTGTCCGTCCTCATTTTGATCATTCCGGCCAAATAGAGCTGGAATAACGCCTAGTCTCTGAGTATATATATTTATCATCCAAAACTGTGTTCAACAGGAGATATCTCTTGTGTGACATCAGACGATATCTTCTAGGAGAAATCGTTTTGACAGTAGATTTTGCACAATGCCATGATAATGCTATGACGTCATGAACTTGATGCCCTCACAATGCTATGACATCGCTGCACTGCAAATCTAATGGCAGTACTGTGTTCAGACATGTACATTTTTCATTGAAAACTAACAAAGAGTGTTTTTTTATGATAAATAGTGTCACGGTGCTGGCAGCGGTAATGACCCCTGCGTTAAGGGTCATTGGCTCAACCATGTGTGGTCGTCTAGAGACACCATAATGACCGCACCAGTGAACCAAGATAAAATAATATATATTAAAAAGAGCACAACCAAACAGTAATGTTAATACATTTATTAGGACTATACATGTAGATCTGAATAACCCAAATTAAAATTGCAATACGTATCAATGAGCTGAACTCCTATTAAGCCTATATGGACCTGAAGAACCAGTAATAATACAAATACCCCTGACAGGAATAGTGTATTACGTGAAGTAATAATTGGAACGCCAGACTGAAGGTAAGATTACAAGGAACTTACCAACATATTCCTGTGTCCAGCGTTCCCAGAGGTCCTAGTTGGAGTGAGTCCACCGTGGGAACTCCCCCCAACTAGAATGGTTTGGGAATTTATAGGGAGTTGCCGGACGTCAGAGGGGACAACCTCTGACTTGGCCAAGAAAGATTGAAAATGATACTTGAAACTTAGAGACTGTGTTTCTCAAGCATCAAGTTTTATGATAAAGCCAAAAAATATTCATTAATCTTATGAGTCAAATCTGGACATGTGATAGCAGACGTTAGTGGCTACCATCACATATTATTTTAATTGTTCTATATTCACTAATAATGAAGATATAGTCTCAATAAAGACTTGAAAATAGTCTTCTATTGGCATTAATAGAGGAAAATACTGTATTTCTCCCAAAATAAACACGTTTATATAAATTAGATTATATAGACGGAAAACTGAGTATTATGGGCTAGTTGCACGATACAAGATTTAGGTTACATTCAAAAGTTGACTTTAATACTTGACATGATATGTCCGTGACAAGCACACATGGACTACATAAATTGTATTGAAGTCAACTTGATGCAGGGTTTCGTCATAGTAGAATCTCACCCTCGTGTCTTCTGATATCAAATATATCATTTGGGGCTTTAGCATTGCAGGGAGGGCTAGCTCTAGGTACCGTAGTAGGGAAAGTAAAGTGGTCCAGTGACTGTGACTCAGACTAAGTGTTCCACTTGCTTGTCTAGAGAACCGACTGGGTGGTCCATGACGTGACATTGGTGGTGGCATTACATCTGATAACAACTGGCACGAATCGATTTTTGATATAGCTTGTATATTAAAAGTTTAAAACAAAAGAAAAGTCCAAGATATTTTTATGGATTAAACTTCTTTTTTAATTTCTCTCACAACGTTTCGAGACCATTCCAGGTCCCTTCATCAGGTGAACTGGCAGTTAGGACTATGACGTCATAACTGAGTTATGACGTCACAATGCAAGTGACATCACAGTACATTAGGGAGAGTACTGTATAAGTGAGATTTGAAGAGTTAATTAGTTAGATAGATAGTTAAGTCACTTAGAAACGATTTAACATTCCCTTTGAACATAAAACTATCCGCCGAAGCAGGTTCGGCGTAAAATAGCGGTGAAATTTATATAAGTGGATCTCTGAAAATCACTCATTCACTTGTCTAGCCTTTAATCATCTGCTGGAACTATAACTTATTGAGGGAGTAGGGGGTAGCCTAATTGTTAAAGCGCTCACTCGTCGCGTTCGATCCCCACATGGGTACAACTAAACACACTCACTCACCTACAGCGTTCGAAATAGCTACTGGCACGCTAGCCAAATGATGGCTGATTGTGAATCGGGCCAGTAATATATTGTTAAAGCTATTCCGACTGGCTAGCTGAAAATAATCAGATAATTTGTTCGTTATTAAATGTGCATGAACATGATGAAGTCAATTATTAAGATGTTAAATGTCCGCCCGCAAAAGTCCCCTTAAACACGAAATGTCACAGACCAATCAATAGAGCAGTGTTTTCTCCAACCTCCAACCTCCAGATCTGTTGTATGGTCTCTGTTTTAGGATTAAAGAAAGAAATCTTAGTTTTGTGTTTGTTTGATTTATTCATACCCTGCTCACTTGTACTCATTATGTGTTTAAGGCTGTTCTATCAGTATTTTATCAGTATTCCAAAGAACCACCAGCCATTTTCTTCCCACGATACATACATGCGGAGAATAGAACTCCAACTTTTGGAGCTACATAATACCGCATTAACCACTGGGCTACCATACCGCTGTGCACAACCGAACCAGGTCATCGCTAAAATTATATCTTCAGTTGAAGATAAACAACATAGAACGTCAAGTTCATCCATCAAGGATTCACCCACACCAGTCTGAACACTGAAGGAATTGAACGTACCTTCAGAACCCGGGGGTACCAACACCATCGTGAACATAGAGGGAGAGCAGGCTGACAGTGCTCGTACCCCCTGTTCTCCTTGTACATGTATTCCAGGAGTCGCGTCCCTACATCAACACACAGTAGGCCGTTCAGTCGGCTACGCTGACTGGGTAAACATGCTGTGTGTTACTTCTAGAAAAGAGCTGAGGACTCTGATTAACACACGTGGGGGTTCAAATGGGCCATGGATTGAATAAAAACAAATCTTCCGCGGAAAGAAAACACCGGCATGTTGACACAATATCAAAGCAAAATGAAAATGTTTGGCTGGAATTTAGTCATTTGACATTGTGACCCGCCTTTGCATTATTACAACAAAACTATGTAGCTGCTGTTTTGTCAACAGCCATCAGCTTCTTCGCAGGAACTTCTGCAGTCACGTGTCATAAGGGCAGATAACTCTGAACAGCAAAACTGAAAATGCCTCATTGGGAGTGTCCTCTTCCGCTATAAATCGACAGATGACCTGATAGGGCCACACTGTTAGGACCCCTTGTGTAAGGGCTACGTTGTTTGTTTCACGGATTTCGCTTGCCACTATATCGTTGCTCGGTTTAAATAATATCACCAATGTATTTGTGTTGCTCGGGATCATTTGTATTACAAAACATATGTTTGAAATGAAGTTTCTGTGATATTTGGGATTTATGAGCAAATGATAGATAATTTCTTTGTTGGAAGGGTAAACACGATTTCTACAGTTTTGTGAGTTGTCTAACGCCACACTCAGCAATATTCCAGCTATATGGCGTCAATTTGTAAATACTCGAGTCTGGAAGAGACAATCCAGGGATCAACAGCATGTGCTTCGATCTACGCAGTTGAGAAACGATGAAATGTGACAACCAAGTCAGCGAACGTGATCACCCGATCCCGTTAACCGCCTCTTACGACAAGTATGGGTTAGTGAACATCACTACTTCTTCACGGGTGGATTTCTACAGTAAGTTATTTCTTCATAAATGTGAAAACGGCTTGCCATAGCTCAGAAGTCTGGGGTGTACCTGATCTAAGGACAATTATTAGGACACTGCGGTTTCATATTACCGGGTGTTAGTGAATAGAATTCGACTGTAATACTATATTGAGCCCAGGACACAAAATAGAACTGACGATAGAAACTTGTCAAATACCACAGGGTTCATTGTTTAGTTTACGAGAAAACATTTTTCGGCAAGAAAGGCTACTCAATCGCCATTGAACTTTGAGCCATCAGATCAGATCACACATTCCCGTGTGACGCCATGTGCATGTGTGCCTGGAGCCTTGACTGGGTTTCCGACCACCTGTTCTAGATGCATTGTAACCCATCCGACTATATTCCTGTCTATCTGATATACATAGCGTGGAACCAATGGCAAATGAAACCAGTTAACCTTGTGCCAATAGGACTGGGCTCCTTTCTATCGGATATAGTGGAACCAAAGTCATCCCTAGAGAACCAGCTAACCCTGTTGACATAAGACTGGGCTCCTGTCTACAGAAATGCAGGGAAGGAACCGGAAATGATCACATTCTGGAAATATTGGGTGAACCCAAACACCGGGTGCTGGCACTGAACCCGGACAGAGGTCGCCGAAGCTGCAGCCCCAGTGTGAATGTCACGTCGTCCTGATTCAGATAATGTTTACATTATTCTGTACGACTGTTTGTTATCAGCAATACCCTTCCTGTTGATGGACGACAGACGGGACAGGCCGTTCGTGGATCTCTATTAACATACGTTGTTTGAGTTTGAAATTAACCATTTCCGACAGATGAAACTTAGTTGATATGGAGGCTAAGCCGTTATATATTTATGAAATTGAGATTTTGGGCCTGCGTTTATTACAATGTGGGCACTTCGTGTAAAACGAGTTCATTCCCCTCTTGCAGACAATAAAGCTTCGTCAGTGTAGAAACTATATCTGGTCATTGCGAGTAAATAGAACACAAACGTTTTACGTCTCCCTCAGCAATATTCCAGCTATATGGCGGAGGTCTGTAAATAGTCGAGTCAGACAATCCAGTGATCAACATCATGACCATCGATCCACACAACTGGGATGCGGTGACATGTGTCAACCAAGTCAGCGAACCTGACCACACGTTGGACCGCAAATTCTAACCCGGATCTTCATAATTTGTTTCTTCTTCATCGCGACGAGCACACACAATGGACCTATTGCTAACGATTCTTTTGAGAGTCGCATTCAGTACTATTGTTTGCGGAAACAGCCAAATGATTAAATAATGATTAGTAAAACACCAAGCATCTAAAATAATTTTTTTGGTCAACATCTGCATATAATGCTATGGGTTCCTTTCGATAA